GCTGATAACCTTTACTTATTATTACAGTCATGTCTCCATATACAATATATGATATCCACGAGCACGTGAGGATGTGTTTCAGCTGCTAACAGGCACCAGAATTAAAATAAATAATTAAACAAGTATGAACTCTAACCGATATCTACATCCATCGTCACCCCCGAGCTGCACATGTAGAAAAATCTGTCCGACTTAAACGCCGGCTTTCAGCCACTCCCCCTGCTGCTTCCGTCTGCTCTCGTCTGTACTCCAGGCCAGGCGCTGCTCATCTCGAACACGGCCTATCACTGCGCCCTGCAGTCTTCGGCAAAGTGCACTTAGAGAAAGTACACTGTAAGGCTTTGAGTGCGGAGTACATAAGTGAGCAAATAACTGGGACTGGGACATTAATTCAGGCCGGGAATTTTGAAACCATCCCAGGCCGCCGCCCAATTCACGCTAAACACTAAAAAGTGGGTCGGGTTTTGGCGCCCATTGACGTAAAAGTGTAAAACAACTACATTAAAACTTCACATGTGCCCCGATTTTTTCCTCTAAAATATAAAATATTTGTGTTCTGCTGCTAGAATCTCTGCTTCTGTTGCATGAACTGAAATTCTATTTTATTCTGTTAAACGTGCCTCCTGCACATGAGATGAAATAGGCCAGACACCATCGTCCACCTGAACTACAGGTACCAGACTCCATGTCTGGGTCAAGAGAATCACACCACAAGCAGAGACATAAAAAAGTGTGTGTGTGTGTGTGTGTGTGTGTGTGTGTGTGTAGCCTTTTGCAGATGCACACACCTCTGACATCCATATATACTGGCAGACCAGTATATATGGATGTTTTCCTCATAATATTCATATAAACACCAATAATAATACGAGGGGTTTAAAGGCTATGAACCAAAGACAAAATAAGCCAGAGGTGAAGGTTTATGCATTTAACTAGAAATGTCATAAATGATCATCAGGGCTGATGTGAAATCTAATCCAGATCAGTCCAGATGACAATCATCATCTCATCGGTCTCATGACCAGCAGCAGCTGGATGTTTATGGCCACAACATTTCAAGTGAAGCACACTCCTTTTACGTCTTGTGTTTGCTCACGATCCATATTTCCGTTTGGAAACCGTTTCTCCTCCATGGATGTACCTGCCTGTCGGAGCGTTTAACCACTGGTTGGTCAGCTGATGCTGCTGTCAGTCATTGCAGGAATGTATACGGTGTGGGGAAACAGTTTTAATTTCTCTCCTCTGCCTGAGCTGATGGTGACGCGTGGCGCCTCGCGGCAGTGATGCGCCTTTTGCGCAAAATGCGGCCCTTCATGGAGCTCGTGCCAGACTGTGGATGACTCATGTTAGAGGACACACAGATATCTTTTCAAAAATCTCTGAGATTTCGACTAATGAATACCTGGAAAATTTACCGGTATGCACTGTACCCTAGAAAAAGTACTGGCATGCTGAAAGGTTATATTTAGAAGTGGCGGCGGTGCTGGTACCGGTCCAAAGCTCTGCTCTCTGTCCCAAAAGGATGAGTCTGATGATCTGATCATCAGAACCTGATCATCATGATCCGTTCCTGAAAGCCGCTGTTTCTCCCTCCCCACCCCACCCCACGTGCCCGGCATTGCGCGCTGCGTCATAATTAAACTGGCCCAAAAACTCCACCTTAAACCGGTTCTCCCAACATGATCACATACAGGCCAGCCTGGACATGCATCTGTGGCCAGAGCTTTCTTCCTTTTTCAATCTCTCCTTTTCTGCTCCACCTTTCCTGGTCCGTCTGGGTCCATTTTGCCTCTGGGGCCAAAGGTGCGGTGGTGCTAGCCGCTCTGGGGTGGTGGGTGTCTGCAGCGCTTTGCCAGACCCCGACAAAGTGAGAGGAGGGGGTGTGTTTGTGTCCAGTTTGCTCCGGTTGTGCGAGCATCAGGACAGCAGATGCCCTGATGAGCTGCATGATGGGTTGCTCATTTAGATATTACGCACGTCATGATTGGCAATCACTGAGCAGGCCAGTTTAATGGCCAGGCCACCGGGAAATCTCCCCTTTCTCCCGATTACCAGTCCGCCACTGAAGAGATGTGTGTTAACTTAGAAAATGTGGGCGCAATTTTAATTACTATTAATATTACTATTACTATTAATAATGGATTTACAAGCGGTTTGCCTTGTTACAAACCTTAGCACACATGGGCTTGAGACAACATACTTGCACATGTTGAAAGTAACGCTTTTGCTTTTGAAAGTGGCTTAATTGTGAACCGTGAGTCCCGCCTAGGCTATTTACATGTTATTCAGGTTGAGATCACAATCGATATTTCATGTGGTTCTACAAAACCAATAACGATTTTATGACAGCCACATTGTTGTGTAAATGGCTGTTTGTGGATGTTTCTGTATTTATTAGCTGTCTAACTTGGCTTGGAGATGACGAGGCTACGGTGGGTGCACTGCTTAGCAAATCAAAGTTGACTATTTACCTCAGTGGGAGTCGCTCATTGTATTTTAAGTAAATTAATGCTAAATTGCCCGTGATTTTGAAGCATCTTGGTTTGTTACACAAAACTTATATTGGGATATATTAAAACAGGACATTTCTGGATTTATGTTTGCAGAAATACACTTTTATTGCGAGGCTTGAGGGTCAACATGGCTGACTTTTGTGCAGCCCACGGATGCTCGAATCGCCGCTGTGACAAATCGAGACAACGTGGGATCACCTTTCATTTGTAACTGTTGCAAAGAAAACCTAGACTTGTACATTATTCAGTCTGTTAATTGTTTTTATGTAAATAACATAATTAGAAACTGCTGTTCCATTGCTGCTGCTACCTTCTTCTATACATTGTTTATCTGGTTTAATGAATGTTGAAAATCTCCTTCACAAGATCAGTCCATTATCCATCTGTCTTATTCATTACTGTAATCCATCTTGTTTATTAACCTAATCTATTTTTGGATTACTTCCTAACTTTTTCAGAAAGCATTTCCAAAGAGCTTATAATTAATAAATGAAAGTCAATAAATAAGAAAACAAAAGTTAAGAAATAGTGAAAATACAAAATAATTTGCTGGGTGAAATTTTATTGCTGGCGGGCCGGTTCTGGCTGACTGATTTGATTTGGGTGTTGTTTGCCTTATTTGTTGGGGTGCACACTTTGTATCTGTGTTCTGTTTATGTGGGCTTTACCTCAAAATAACCTTGAAATCTCATCTCTAAACAAATCTTATTTCACAAACCAGGAAATTATATATATATATATATATATATATATATATATATATATATATATATATATATATATATATATATATATATACACACACACACACACACACATATATATATATATATATATATATATATATATATCTGTTGTCTCTCTCTCTCTCTCTCTCTCTATATATATATATATATATATATATATATATATATATATATAGAGAGAGAGAGAGAGAGAGAGAGAGAGAGAGAGAGAGATCTATATAATATAATAATAGGCTATGTATACTTTAAGTTACTGTAGCTTACAATTAAATGTGTCATTTGTGAAAATTAAATGCTTTGTGGAGTGAAATAACAGGATTTTCTGGGCCAAACACATCCTATTTCATATCTCTCGCGTTTATAACAAATCTAACCTTTTGAGCAAGTTAGAGTTGTTTAAATAGTACATGCATCATACACTCCCACGTCAAGAAAGGGGACAGCTGTCTGAGGTAAGATGGCCGCCACGTTCCTATTATGTCGATGGTCGCATCCCAACGGGGACGAGGCATCTAGTGTTTTTATCTATGGCAGCTAGGGCCTTCTCAGAAATAGCGCCCCTTCAGTTCCGGAAAGCAATTGTGTCCTTTCCATATATGGTATTGTTTTGCCCTGGACCCGTGACATGACACACGGAAGTTAGGGTGGTAAGCACAGTACACAGACATGGAGAGCAGCTGAACCCGTGAACAGAGCGGAGGCTGCAGTACCTTTATAAGAAGTCGTTGACGTGAGCCGCTGGAGGCTTTGGAAAAGTTCAAGATTTGAAGTAAGATGGCGGAGAACTGGTACGGCAGAATGCGCCGTTTTAGCGGCGGTCCGACTCGCTTCCTGTCGGAAACCAACGTGGAGGTATTCCTGACAGAGTTGCTGCGGGAGCTCCGGGATGACCGGGCCACTTTCAACCTCAAGGTAACGGCAGCAGCGAGCCAATTTACGGTCAGAGGCTGAAGAACGGCGCAGAAACTAAAGCTTAAGCACTAACAAGTAAACATGTCTGCCGCCTCTACATTCTGTTCAAAGTGATGTTGGTGTTTCACCTTTAATGGTGTTGCTTGCAGTAAAGTCATTTTAACTGAGATGAAGAAGGCCTGATTTAGGGTCAGGGTCTTCTGATGTTGTCATTCTGGTGAATGTCTGATCCCTGGTGTCCATCTCTCTCCAGGTGCTCCTGCTGTCTCCACTCTGTGAGTATCCAGACCTGCTATGCTCCTCAGACTCTGTAGGACAGGAGACCGCTCTGGATCTCATGTCCGTGTTTGCCCAGTGTCCTCGAAAGTCCACTCAGTTTCGCAGCCACCTCCTTGTGGCCCTCACCTGTGTTCTGATCTGCACTTCCTGTGTACGTAGCCGCTCCCATGTGGCACTAGACTTTCTAGACCTGCTCTTTCAGGTAGCTCAGGATGTCAGTGACGTCCACAACGATGACACATCACGCTCGCTCCGAGCCACAGCTTGCGACTGCCTGCAGGAGATGGAGACCTGCTGCCCCGGACTTCTGTCCCAACGGCTGGAGCTCTTGAGTGGTTTGCGGCAGCAGGAGACCTCCAGGCTCCACCAGGTCTATGCAGGCCTCCAGACTGTGGTGCTGAAGAATGCCGTGTATCAGCTGACTCAAGAGCCAGGAGCTGGGGCTGAGCACCTGAAATGTCTTCTGGGAGGAAACACATCCTTTGCTTGGGAAGTAGACCAGGATGCTTTCCAGACAGACAGCAAAGACTCAGCCATGCTGTCCTCTCTCATCCAGGGGTCCATGGGGATGATGCCAACGCTGCACACCGGGCCTGACTGTAAGGAGCTGAGATCTGTCCTCTCCTCCCTGCTGGAGGAGTCCTACCTGTTCACGCCTCTGTGTCAGGCTGCTCTCCTACACAGACTGACGGAGGTGGTCGCCATGGTTCCTGGTATCCCTCCAACCATATTCAGAGCTCAGCTGCTGCGACTGCTCGGAACCAGTGAGGTTTGTGTCACATAGGGTTAGATTCTTACCCAGAGCAACCATTGAGCAGGTAGCTGGATCTGCGTTTACACATTCTGTTAATTTATGGGCTCGACACATGGGAGGTAACAAACGACTGCAATCAGTAAAGGCTTTTGCTATCGCTTTGATAACCTGACACACGGGAGGCGACATGCGGCAGCAGCAAAAGCCAGTGACGTGCTCTGTTCTAAGGAGTCTAGTGAGTCTTGCGTTGTTTTGATTGGAGGGAGCGTTTAGTAATTAAAGCAGTTCAGAGTTTTAAAAAGCGGTAGATATGAAGGTTTTGTTGAGTTAAGTGAAGTCCAACTTCTGGCTTTACTGTATAAAAAAAGAAAAATACATGAATGGGTTCATCCCATGTTACGAACAGAAAAAAAGCCAGTGAATGAGACCACACCAACAACCAACTGACAATTTCCCATGCCGCCTCCTTTTTGTGAAGATCTCTGTTCTTTTGTAGAAATGTTGTAAAGCTTTAGAAAATCTGGCGTGGCAAGTATCAACTTTTTCTTCACGTTTGCCCGAAAATGTACTGAGAAGCATCCAGTCTGCTCATTGGTCAGTCAATGAAGCCTCCACTGATTGGTCCTTGTCTGAGCGACAGCAATGAAAAGTTGAAATTTTCTCAACTTTCTAGGATCGCGTGGCTCACCTGTTCACGACACATGCACAAGGGCAAAATTTCACATGCACGTTTTCCGTGTGTCGCTTATCAGGAGGGAGATCTGCGATTGTCGCATTTTCGCCTTTTGTGTGTCAAGCCCATCAGTCTGACGAACCGTAGACCTTGATTGTTTCTAGAGATGTGAATTTTACAACTTAAAAATGGTAACCCTAAAAGATGGTACACCCCTAACTTAATATTTTGTTGCACAACCTTCTGAGGCAATTATTGCAATCAAACGATTCGTCAGGGTTTTTCCTGGGTTCAAAGTTGCGTGGCGGCCGCCTCCAGCTATTTTTGTGTCGCCTCAGCCTGATTTCACTCTGCCCCCAGCTATATGGATGTTATTTTAACTGCAGTTGCAGCGTTGCACCACTATAGGGGCGCTGTATCAGCAGCAGTGCACCAAAAAGCGTTAAAACTGCTGTAGAAAAAGAAAAAAATTACTTTTCTCGCTAGTTGATACTAGGGTTGTCACGGTAACCGGTGTAGCAGTAAACCCCGGTAAAAAGTTGACAATAGGGCTTCCGGTCGGAACAACATGGCGACGGCTGCGTGCTGAGAGCTCCCGTCAGACCCCCAGTAATACTGTACAGCCCCCAACAAGTTGAGTAATTACTACATTCAGAGAGCATTAGAAAGGGGGCTAGAAACTCACTGAGCATTGAAAACCGGTGGAAATCCCTGAAGAGCAGCTCTCGCTAGGACCTAAGAGGACCTAACTGAGCTACGGAAGGCTAATGCTAACCGTGGATCAGCTAACAACGACCACAGCAATGAGCGATCCGGAAGCGATCTTACACGGGCTGAGAGGGTTCCGTAAAGAAAACAAAGAGTAGCTCGAATCGATAAAAGAAGAAATCGCATAGGTAAACACCAGACTGAGTGAAGCAGAAGAGTGAATCGGAAAGCTGGAGGACAGAACTCAAAATACGGATCGAGTTTTAACAGACATGCTAAAGCTACATATGCAGCTAGAGGAAAAGGTATTGGATCTGGAAAGTCGAACTAGATGCGAAAATATAAGGATTTATGGAGTTCCAGAGGGGGCAGAAAGTGAAAGTGCCTCGGTGACGAAATTTGTGGGGAACCTCCTCCGCGAAGAACTCGGACTCTCCGAAGAGCAGGCCGATCTCCATATTGAGCGAGAACACCGCTCACTAGGGCCCACATCACCGGTCGGTGCCCCGCCCCGCTCCGCTCCATTATAGTAAAGTTTCTGAGCTACAAGACTAAAGAAATGGTCGTCCGCAAGGCATGGCAGAGCAAGGGAATAAAATGGAAGGAGAATGTGATTAAAGTAGACCATGATTTCCCACATGCTATTCTCCAAATAAGGAGAGAGTTCACAGAGGTCCGAAAAGTGCTCAAGGAAAACAAAGTTCCATTCCAGACGCTCTTCCCGGCAAGGTTGAAAGTTTCATATAAAGAAGGGATAAAAATCTACGACAACAGTGAAGAAACAACTGAAGACATGGCGGCCAGGGGCTACAGTGTGAGGATTGCTAAATCTCCAGAAACGCTGATGGAGCAGATTCGTCAACTGACCTGGAGGAAACTACAGAGGGGCGCAAAGAGAAGGGCGACCACCACTGCCTGGGACAGTGGCTACAGAGAGAGGCTGAGGGCCTTCAGGTGCCCCTCCCCTGCACCTCCGAAGTCGCAGTAGGTAGAGAGATGTGGTCTCCCCCCCCCCCCCCCCCCCCCCCGGCCCCCGCTTTGTTGGCTCCGATCCCCTCCTCCCGCAGAGCCGGACGCATTTAAGAGGAAATTTCTATCAAGAACAGTGATACTCATCGAATTAAAGAGCAGATCGGGGCTGGGGATCTTTTCCAGTATGCTGCTGTTAAGGGCCTCTCATTCTGGAAACAGGACTGCGGACTTCCCCCTCGAGCTCTTCAAGAGAAGCTCAACAGGGTCTCGTTTATAGACCCCCACATTATGTGTTAAAAGCAATGCAAGATCTATTAATCCCAACATTAGCGAGGATATTTAACTGGGTCCTGAACAAGCATGTTATTCCTCCCTCGTGGAGAGAGGCCACTATCTCGGTTATTCCTAAAGAGGGGAAGGAAATGGACTGTGGAAACTACAGACCTATAAGTATTTTAAACATTGACTACAAACTGTTCACCTCCATTTTATCAAAGCGATTAGATTCAATATTACCTGATTTAATACATAACCAAACAGGTTTCATTAGACAAAGACAAACTCAAGACAGCAATAGGAGAGCACTACTTCTTATTAAAGACATAAACATGCAGGGAATGGAATCATTAATCATAAATCTCAATGCTGAAAAAGCTTTTGATTCAGTGAGATGGTCCTTCCTGAAGACCTTCAGAAGATCGGTTTTCACAAATCTATTATTAAAACAATATCAGCACTATATGACAAGCCACGGGCCTGAATTAAAGGGGCATTATAGAAGTTTGACAGCCAAAACATGTATAGAAATGAAAAATTTCTTCTTCATACATTCTCCTGCAATGCCCTGGTCCTGTAGAATGAGCCCTGGCATTTTTACTGTGATTGCCTGTTTTTCTGTAAAATCACAGAAAGAGAGCTGCTCGGGTCGACCAGGGTGCTTCATGCGCGTTCACGCTCGGGCATCGCCCGTAGCATTTGCTATCCGTAGCTTTAGCAGCAGAGTGAGGTAGTGCCAACTCAGCGACTTTGTCGCTGTTCCTAACGCCTAGTGACAAACCTAGCTACATTTCTGAGGACCCTTAGCTACTTTCTTCTAGATATTTCCTGCAAATTAGCAACAAAATAGCTATTTTTGCTCCGAACCGTTCTTTGAACGTTGTTTCAGCTGTCATCAAGGATATAAATATCACAGATACAAGGCACGTTACTGGTGCTTTAGCTCACCTAGTAAGCAGACAGACTCCCGTGCGGTAGATCCGGGTTCGAATCTAGATGTGAACAAAATTTATTTAGAGTTTATTTTTTACATTAATGGTATTTTTTTTACAGTAAGATGCCCAAATGTTTATTTGAGACTCGCCGAACGCCATTGAATTCACAGATAAAAAAGATGTGGGTTCAACTTTCATTTTGGAACAATTTTTCAAGCAAGGGAAGGGAATGATCTGTGAAGCTGACAGACTGACCCATCGTAAACCTTTGTCGGCTGTGCTGAAGATAAGGGAACAGAATCAAATTATTTAATTAGCTGTGCTTTCTCCTGTCCTCTGTCCTCCGGGCCACACACACACACGGAGCTGACTGTCTCAGCCGTTATTTTCGTTAAGGGGTGTGCACTTACAGCATGTGTGCCTCATGCACGAGCCTACTATTGAAGCTACCGTTACGCTTTTTGCCTGAGGGGTCAATCGCGAGCATGAAAATTCAAAACTCCGTAAAATCCCTTTAAGATTAATGGTGACCTGACACTAGGGCTGGGTGATATGGCCTAAAATCAATATCACAATTTATTGAGGATTTCACCTTGATAACAATAAATGGACGATAACTACAGGTATGTGCAGAAACAAAAGTTGTCCACTAGATGGGCTGTCACACGTGTCACGTTGAGTCACATAAAAATGTGACTCAAGGTGGTACAGCTTCTTAAAGGGGCATGAACGTTGCCAACCTACAAACATCTTTTCCGTGAGTTTATTTTCTTAAATGATTTTCTTGAAGCATGGTTGAAAAGCAATGTCTGATGTTCATTGGTTAAATTTCATAGAACTATTTATATTATTGGTCAAATTCAAGTTTTTTTCTGTGACCATTGTGAGTTTTTCTTTTATTGACCGAAGGGTACCAACAGTGTTGTTCATATCTGTATATCTGTTCCAGTTCTGCTGTGTCCTCTGGTGGACATCAGCTGAACGTGTCCTTTCTGACACCTTCTAACTCTGACTTGTCCTTTTTGGTTGTCTTCCTGCAGGTTTGTCTTTTCCACGCCACTCTGCTGATGAAGTGTGCTTTCACTGACAGCCTGTTCAGCGCTGAAGATGAAACCTTTCTCCTGAAGCGGCTACTGGTTCTCTCCCAGCACCCCCTCCTGAGCATACCTGAGAAGCTCTTCTACATGGACTGCATTCTGCACTTCCCAGAAAACCGTCCAATCAGCTGCAGCGACAGTGACGAGGCCCTCCCAGTGCTGCTGACGCCACAGCTCGCTTCCACCCTGCTGCCCACCGTGTTCAACGACAGCGCCACCATGCTGGCTCGGCTCCACCTGCAGTCTCTGGTCTATCTGGAGGAGGGAGTGGAGGAGAGCAGGGGGCTGGTCTACCTGTACGACCACCTGACTTCAATGCTGAACATTGTGGAGAGTGGAGGCAGCAGAGAGATAGTTGTGACCTTTTTCAGAGCTGCTTTCCTCTTCCTGTTGTACTTCAGCCAGGTTCACAGTTACTGCTTGGACCTGAGTGAGCAGCTGTGTCGGCTCTACCTGCGGCACACTCGGTTGGCTCCTCATCTCATCAACCTGGCTAACCAGACCCAAGAGCGACTCCCAGAGTGTACCTGGGCTATAGGGCTCCTAAGAGGCCTCCAAAAGGGGATCACCAAAGCCCTGCTGGGCCAGCTGTCCCTGCAAGACCTCAGCTGGCATCTTAAGGTTCTGACTCGTGTGGCAGAAGAACGAGAGATCTGTCAGCACTGCAGCCTGGGCTTCCTGTCCAGTGTCATCACCACCTCCCCGCTGGGTGTGGGTGGGGACTGGCGCCTGGGGAACAGCTTTCTGGCAGTCTGCCGCCGTGTACTCCTCCACCCAACTCTGGACTCTCTGCTCATCCCTCTGGCAGACATTCTGCAGCATTTGGCCTGTTACTATGGAGACGCAGACATCCAGGACCACGCCCGCCTTTATTACACCCTCCTGACCACAGTGTCCCAGGAGAAGCTGGCCATGATGCTGGCGCAGGAAGCAGCAGATAATGGACCGCAGGTGAAAAAGCGAACCCTGTCCAGCCTCATGGCGGAGAATGAAGGACTGACAGGTGCACTAACCGTCCACCAGACGGAGACAGCAGTCCTCTGTCTCACCCTGGTTTCTTCTGAGGGACCAGGAGAAAGTGGACAGCTGCATGAAAAGGAAACGGAGGATGTGACTGATGTTCTGGAGGCTTACAGATCTCAGTTTGGTGAGCCTGGCTTTATGCCAGATGTCACGCTGAAGTATCAGCTGGTCCACAAGCAGGATCAAGACCCTCGCTTTGAGCAATTGTTCAATATCCGCCTCCACTTTGTCCTCACTGATGACCATTATGAACAGCTGCAGGACATCAATGTCCCATGTGTCTTCAAAGGGAGACCCCCACCTGTGGTGCAGCTGAGACTGAAGCCCCGGCAGCCATACCCAACCACTCTACGCGTCAGCGCCATCTTCACTACCCAGGATGGCTTCTCTTGGCACACCCCTCTGCCTGATGTCCATGTGGCATTCCAGCAGTCCTTCCTGCCTGTCCCCACTCCCCCGTCCTGGTCTGGAGAAGCGCGGCTGCAGCTGTTTGAAAGGCTGTGGGAGGAGATCAGCTCAGAAACGGGTGACTGTGCTGTCAGCCTGTTCTGCTGCCAGCTGCAGGAGGCGGAACTGAATGTGCTGGTAGGAAAACACTTTTGTCCCTTCCTCGTCTCACATCCAGCTAATGAGGACGAGTTCAGGGTGCTCTTCTTCCTTCCACCGCAGTCCCACCTGCTGCTGAAGGTCCGGTCTGAGGTGGACGCCGTGCACTTCAGCATCGCCTCTGACAGCTGGCAGCTTCTTCCCCTCATAAATTCATACCTGCTAACAGTCACATCATCTCAGGAGGACACCACCAGCTAACCAAACTTTCAACATCCACAAGCTGCTTGTGTGAAAGCAACAAGCCAAAGTCAGATGATGCACTTTTATGAACTTGATTTGAAATTAAAATGTGAATTAAATCATTTGTCTTTCATTTCCTGGATGTGACAATATTTGGGTATTTTAAAAATCGACGAGTGGACAGGAATCGGATTTAGAGTAGAGACTGATGCCGACAGGCTCGGGTTCCTGCTGTCTGTCACCAACTTCCAGGATGTTTTGTAAAAATTACTTTGTGTGTGTTGGAGGCCCAGAGCAGCAGAAGAGAAGAGAGTAACCTCTAACCCCAGCTTCAAAAGGACCCCCCCCCCCCCCCAGCCCTGCTGTCGTGTGAAGGCCCAGTTTGGCCTGCCTTCAGGACCTCTTAGTCCATAAGGCCTCTGAAGTTGTGTCCAGTGGGCTTGTCAGTTCCATATCTTCAGGAACATTTGATCAGCTTCCTGTGATTGGGAAAAGTAGGTTAGGGTGACAAAATGTTAGCTTCAAACCTAAGGACTTTGGGGGGGGGGGTCAGAGCTAAAACAACCTGAAGCCCCCCTAATAAGACACTGGTCCATGACAGACTGCGGGTTCTGGTGGATGGGAACAGTTACAGCAAACAAGATTCCCAGAGGATGAAGGTCCAAGAAACGATTGATCTGGAGCGGTGTTGGTTTGCAGACAAGCAGCACAAATTCAATTCAATTCAATTCAAGTTTATTTATATAGCGCCAAATCACGACAAGAGTCGTCTCAAGGCACTTCACATAATAAACATTCCAATTCACAGTTCATTAAGCCAATCAGAAATAATGTTTCCTATATAAGGAACCCAGCAAATTGCATCAAGTCACTGACTAGTGTCAGTGACTATACAGCAATCCTCATACTAAGCAAGCATGCAGCGACAGTGGAGAGGAAAACTCCCTTTTAACAGGAAGAAACCTCCAGAGAATCCCGGCTCAGTATAAGCAGCCATCCTCCACGAATTACTGGGGATCGAGAAGACAGAGCAGGCAGACACACACACACACACAAATATGTTTATCTTCAATGTTTCCATCAAACCCAGAGACCTGAACTTCCCACTGGAGGCTAACATCACAGGCAAGCTGAGTCACTTTAAAAATCTCTCTTCTTCGAGGGAATTCCCCTGAAGGCAGTTAGACAATCAGGGCCTGTTCGTACAGGCTGACGCCACCTTGGGGCAGATGATGAAGTACTTCTGTCCAGAAGGCTGCTGGTACAGGTAATACCTGTTACCTGGCTTCTTCACAAGGTTGCAGGCAGCGTGGTGGAGGACAGCATCTCTTTTGTCGTCCTCTTAACACCTGGAAGAAATAACCTGCATTGGTTCTGGTTCTCAGGCAGGGACCAGGAAGTAAACACTGCCGTGTGCCGTGCTCAGAGGAGCGGCGGAATGGTTTTGGACGTGTTTTCAACTTCTGTCTCTTCTACTGATGTAAATACGAATTATTTTCAGTAAATATCTTACTTCATGTTTGTATTTAGTAATTTTTGAATACATTTAGTCATTCTTGACATCTCTTCGCCGTTTTTTGTACTCGTTTTGTCACCCGTAGTTTGTCTTTTCGCCTCTGCGTTTTCCATGGAGGCTTTTTATTATTTTACATGTTAGATTTGTTTTTGTAAATAATGGAAGAAACCAGGAAATCTTCTAGAAAGAAAAAAAACACTCCAGATTTGTTGATGAGGAGCAAGATGGCCCACATGGTTTTTCCATCCCAAATGCAGCAAGTATCTCTGCACTAAACACGTTCCAGTTTCCGTTGTCTAGTATTTCGGCTAATACTATTACTATACTATTATATACTATTACTGCTACTTCCAGGGAAACCAAAGGTCCATGTACATCTGTGGTTGAGGATCCAGGTGTGGATGAAGATGATTTTCCATCAAAGCTGCAGTAAGTTTATCTACAGTTCAAATATATTTCTAGCTTTAGTTCTGTATTTTTTTACAGTTTTCATTTTCCCCTCTGATATATTTATAATTTTAGAGGTACTTCTGATGAAGAGCCATCCACCATCACCTGCAATAGACAATGTCAGAGACAGGATGCTGCTGGAGATGCTCCACATTTTCTGGACTCCTGGACAACAAAGCCAGACCCAGGTACCGTCGACCCACGACACCCAGATTTATCCCCAGAAGAACCTCTGGCTGTCAGCTGCCTAACCACCAGCTCCACAAACACATCAGCATCAGCAGCAGAAGGACGCCGTGAAACATCAACAACTTCAGGAGCAGCAGTGTGCACAGCTGCTTGGTGAGGATGAAAGCCCTCTAGTGACCTCCTCTCAAGGTCACAACCATGTCCCCTGGACCAGTGGAGAAGGAATGGACAAAGCAGAGAGGGCCGGTCAGGGGTGAAACAGGTCCACTCCCTGGATGTGCTAAGAGTGCAAGAAAGAGTTTGTCTGCAGCAGGACAAGAACCGCTCTGCAGAAGAAAATAATAATAATAATAATAAAAATAAAGCTATAGAGATGTGTGTAGGTATGTTCATGTGTGTATGTATGAATATGTGTGTATATGTAGTGGATACGTGTGTGTATATATGTATATATGAAGTATGTGTGACCATATGGGCACTTTAATGTATACATGTACGAATAGGTATATGTGCAAAAATCCTTTTGCTTTTTGAATTATTATTAATATTAATTTTCTCTTTCTTTACAAATTGAACTCTCGTTAGCTAACCAGTCGAGCAATTACTTTGTATAGGCTAATTTATAATTATTGTTATTTCATTGTAAAAATGTCATTTTAGTTAAAAAGGGGCAGATAACATAAGTTTTCTTCTTTCTGTTCCCTTTTCATTTTCTTGGTTTGAGATACCTCAATTTATTTGTTAGTATTGTTTTTTTTCTATTTCAATGATAAAAATAAAAAAAAGACCACAGCAGCTAAAAGCTCCTGAACATCTGTTTTTTTCTGTTATTACATACAGTTTTGGTTTAAAATGCCAATTATGAACTACACACCAGCTTTAACATTAATAGACCAATAAAACCAGTTATACTTAAAGTAATAAAATCTCAGATCATCAGAAAAACTGATCTTGATACAGGAGTCTTTAATCAGTTGTCGTACTTGTTCAAATGTAGCTCCTTTATTAAAACCCCTCCCAGGGTGGAGGTCTGCATTCTGACTGCTTTCTAGTTTTTATTAGTCATCTTTCTTGAGTGTTTAATTTTAAAGTGACAATGTGTAGTTTTTACTATTAATCTCTGAAAATATCCATCAAAATGTTGTAAATGAATTTAAAAAATGCCCAGTTGTTGAAAAATATTGGCAGTTTCACAACATATAACCATAAAATCTGTTCTAAGATACTTGCGAGAAGGTCTAAGTCTAAGGTCCAATACAGTGTTGATGAGGTGTATTCCATGGCTGGGGTGAGCGAGTAGCGCAGGCATCGTCTGGCCTACGCCAGCTGATGCCACCACACAGCCCTCTGTGTCTTAAAGTGCAGTTTAAAATTGGAAGTGGGCACCGGCACTTGGGATGAGGCTGAAAGACCCCCTTGCCAAATGCCGTTGAGTGTGCTCACTCCAAAGGCCCTACGTGTGTGTTTGTGTGGAATGTTGTTGGTGGAAGTGTTTAAGGTGCAAATAAAATTGGGGGGCAGGTTGCCACAGGAATGCGGAAATGGGGTTCACACTCACACCCCCTGACTTGCCCACCCCCCAAGGTCCTATGTGCATGTTTGTGTGGTGATGTGAGGGAGCAGGAGGAGAGAAATATATGGGGATGAGGAGGAATGCCTGGTTGGCCTAAGCCCTCCAGGGAGTCGGTCTGATGTGCTTGGTATTTTGCTGGAGGTTCCACTCCAAGGGATTTTTAACCCTAATGGCCATCTGTTGGTAATGTCTTACTTGAACATAAAAATCATGCTTTCTTGCAAAGATTTAGGTATCTACTGGCCCCTATTGCCAGGGAAAATACACACTGTCACTTTAATACAACAAATAAAATTGATGGTGTGTTTACAGATAAGGTAGGCGAGTCATTCAATTGCAGTTTGTCAAAATAGGGGGGCCCCAGAACAAAATCTTGCATAGGGCCCCCACAATGCTAGAAATGGCCATGGGTTAAGTACAGCAGCTTTGGGGACCCCCCTAACAAGCTGCCATGCTAACACGCTGAAGAGTTTAACGTTTCAGTCATTTTGGAAGGAAGGTTTTACTGAAACATATTTCATATCCAGCTGGCTGCTGGGTTGTCAGCTTTTCTCCTTTCAAAACAACGGAAGGAGGAACGTAACTACTTTTTACCATTAGTGAGTGTGGGGGTGTCATGTCTCCTTCGAGCTAATATTGCTGCGCCCACAAATGTAATTTGACGACGGCCGGCAAAAACCTTCAGAGTTGTTTTAAGTGGTTGCAGTAACCTTTATTTTTTTGTGGCATTTTACTTTGTTTCTACATCTTGCACTTTTAAATGTTTCTATTGTTTTACAGGAGGCTGTAACTGGTGGATGGCGAGCCTGGCCTAAGAGGACCAGGCTAAACACAGATGTGCAGCTGGATGCCACAGCCGTCAGACGTGATGTTACTGGTTAAGTCGATGGTTCTGAAGAGAAGGCAGCCCCAAATGGCCGATCTCATCTTAAATAGTAACTGAATAGTAACTGAAAGCTTTACATGAGCTAAAACCCCTGAAAGAGGACTGCTTTGCAGAACTTTTATCTGGAGCTGGAGCAGTTTGTAGACTACATACACAAAACAACCAGACATGTAATATTGCAGACTATTAACACACATGCATTAAGTCCTTTACTGAAAGTGTTATTTGACCAAAAATGTTGGGTAATTTTATCAATACAAGATTACCTTAGGAAAAGTTTAAAGCACAGGGGGTTATAGTAATCAATCAATCAATCAACACCAATACAATCATAAACAATCAATTCAGACTTTGCAAAGTGGAGAGGAAAAGAATACACACCAGTCAAGGTTGCAGTTCACTCTCATCAGGCTGATGCCTTCCGACAGCATTCATTAAGCACACACGTTTTGACATTCCTTAGACTGAGGCGGAAAGCTGTAAAAGGGGGTCTAAACTTTCTCCAGGT